ACTTAAATGATTTTGGCGGTTGTGGATTTGTAAATATGACTTATATATGGTTATGGCACGTTGAATTTTACGTTGTTTTTGTGGGGTTGTAAGTCCAGTTATAACTCCTGCACGTTGACTTTTTCTGAATGTTGGCTTTCTGAATTTTTGGCTAATTAAAAAAAATGTTTTTGTATTCCATGTCATTCTTGAGTTTTAGAAAACATGTTTCCATAGGTTTGCGCAACAAAACTGACATCAATGTCTGGGTGTGTGTTTTTGGTCCTTTTCCAAAAGCAATTAACTGAGCATGAGGTTCACCCATGCCAAATCTATCCATGAGGCTCGCCCATGGGTTCAAATCCAATGACATACATAATACGTTCAATCACACAGTTTGATCGTTTTTGCCATGAAAAATTGACATGCATGACGCGATGCAGTTTCTCTCTCTCTTTTTTCCAGCCACGTGTGCACAGTGCTTACCCCAGCATTCCCCAGCAACACACGCAGGGCGAGCCACTGCAAGAAACACAGAAACTCATTTTTAGAGTTTTGAAACATATTTGACAACTCGCTCCCACACCTCAGATGGTTTGTCCTTCTTCCAAGAGAACGCCTTGTCAGTCTTCTCCCCAATCTTTTTGACACGCCAGTTCAAACTCTTGGGGCATGTGTAAACGGTGCAGGTTTCCAGGTGGATCGCTCCTTGGGTTGTGGTTCCTGGAAATTTCAAACAGGCCTTCTTTCCATTCCCTTTGGTTTTGGAATCCTTTGACTCTTGAACCTTCGTCTTTTTAACATTCTTGACCTTCTTGCTCTTGGCTTCAGGAGGTGGTGTAGTCTTTCCCCCAGGCCCCTTGTTGCTTTCCAACTGCTCACGAATGCTTGCCGCCATTTCATCAATGTCAGCAGTTTTTGCATCACCACCCTCAGCAATTTGCGTCGCCTCGCCTTTCACAGGGGTGTTGGAGACATCCTCACACTTGACATCTTCCAAAGCCAGTTGGGTTCTCTTCCTTTTAAGAGCCTGGGGCCCAAGCAGTTGCAAGGAGGAACCCCCCGACGGTTGATGGTTGAAGAACCGATCCATGAAAACATCGCACATCATGCGACCCATCATCGCATCTTGTCCAAACATGGCATTTTGCTTAGTCGTCCCAATTCTGACCTTACTGCGGGTCACTTCACTGTGGGTGCCTCTTGCTGGCAACAGGTCCGCCAATTTTTGGATGACCATCACATCCATCGGGCATTGGGCTGGAGGTCCATGTCTGTATGCTTGGTTGAACAGCTCTGCACCCATGTCTGACGGGTTTTCAGGGTAGCTGTCAAGACCTGAGCTCACCATCCTTTTCAAAGATGCCCGGTGAATCGCTTTGATGTCCTTGAGTACATCAAAGGCTTTGTTCAAGTCGCACTCCATCATGTCGATTGGTCCATGGAAGCTTGCCACATGGAGAATTGCGTTGGCCAAAACAAATGTGTTTTCTGTGGGATGGCGGAGGCCAATTTTCATGAACCTCTCCTTCACCACCTGGATCTTGGAGTTTGTACTCTTTGCATCAGAGCACAGATCATCCCACTCCTCCTTTGTGAAGTAGTTGGTCAAGAACCGGTTGTTCTGGGTTCCATTTCCCTTTTTTCCATTTGCTTTTTCAGCGTTGGGCCCAGCCTTGTCTTTCAACAACTTGTCCTGCACACATGCAACGACTCGCTCCTTCATCCATTGTGGTATGGGTGAGACTTGCACATCTCTGGCCATCACCGTCCCTTCATTCAGTGGAATCTCTGGGCCAGCCAGAAAGTCTCTCAAACATGCTTCCAGCAACCTTGTTTGCTTCTCCTCTGACTGTCCAGAGGCTTGGGACTGCATCACTGTGAGAAATTCGAGCAGTTCCTTAAGCCTGGACGCAGCCATGTTGAAAATGCACAAAGTATATTTGGAGGCGAGCCTTCACAAAGACACAAAACTGATTGGAGGCGAGCCTTCCAGATTTTTGAAATGAAAATGGCGACAGAATTTCAAATTGTTCAAATATGTGTACAGGATGCACACAGCTCCCATGCATGTCGACAAATAAGAAACACACGCTGATGGTTCTCTAAGAACGTCACTTTTTCACATCTCGCTGCTCGTGTCGGGGTCAAGATTCAGAAGAAGACAGCCAACGGTAAGCAGGCCGGACTCGTTTTGATTGCTTCTTCACTGCCTTCTTAGGTGTTTTCTTCTGCTTTGCCTGAGTCTTTTTCACTGCCTTCTTCTCACTCTTGGCCACGGCCTTTTTCATTGTTTTCGCTTTCTTGTCCTTGTTTGCTTTGCTTTTTGCAGCTGCAGGTCGTTTCATCTTTTGAGGTTTCCCAGAGTCTTGCACTTGGCTTGCAAACTTGTCCATGTAGCACTCGAAGTCATGGCAAAGAGCAACGCAACGGGGGCTGTTCAAGGGCTCTGCTGGAAATGGTTGCAATAAATCTTCCTTGATGTCCTTGACAATGGGCCCAAGCACTGCCATCATAAGTGGGACTGGGTAGGCATTGCCACTTGCCTGGACCTTGAGAGCATCATGACAGCCATCCAAGGTGTTTGGAGGGAACCCTTGCAACAGCATGCGCTCCTCAGGGTTAGCAAAGTGTGGGTGTGTTGCACATCAAGTTGATTTCACATGAACCAGAACCAAAACTGACCAAAGAAAAAGTTAAGTCCCCAAGCCTTGGGGTTGAGAAATCGGAAGACTCTGCGATCTGTCTCTTTCTTGGACAAATCCAAAGAGGCCAGGAAGAGGTACTTGTTGGTCGTAGTCAGCGTCGGCACTATGTTTTTGGAGAACCTTCGAACGTACACTTTCCCCTCTGCTCTGTCAAGTGGAAAGCAAAGGATGTCATCTTCCTTAGCTTCTCCTGTCTGAAGCATTGTCTTCATTGCCTCCAGTGAATCCTTGAGGTTTTGGGTCATTGTTGCAGTGAGACCTGACCAATCCACTGACGGCAGAGAGAAGTCGAGGAATTCGACCAATGGTCTCGGCCCAAACATCGCCATTGGAGGTGGCACAATGCCCATTCCAAAACATGTCCGCATCCCCCGAAGGAACACTCTGGTTCTTTGTTGGGCCAACATGTAGTCTTGGGCCTTCAGAGTCACCACCGCCCAATCAAACTCTGGGCAATGGTGCCGTAAATAATCCACCAGGTAGTCCATAAAACTCATCTCCTTGCCTTTTGGCTTGCTCAAAATGCCTTTGACGTTTTCCAACACACAAGCCTTCAGCTCCCCTACCTTCACAAGGCTAATGACTAGCTTCACGACAGCCAAGAACACATCGGCCCGTTGGTCGCGAAGGCCCTGATGATTTCCATTCCCCGCCCATGGGGGGCAGGGAGGTCCACTGACCAGCAAGTCCACTGGTCGCTCAAAGTGATGTAACTCCAGTTCGTTGATGTCCTTTCCCAAGTGAATCTGTTTGGTGCAAAGGTGTTTTTCCAAATGTGTTTGGTACCGCTTCTCCAGGTCAAAGACATTGTTGCTCGTCCAAGGTACCTTCAAAGCAGTCAGGGCAAACCCTGCGCCATCGATTCCCACGCAAGGAAGGCTCACATGCAGAGGCCTCGCAAACTGTCCCAGGTCGGGCGCCATCCTCGACCACTCTGTTTGTTTTGCACATTTAGACTGCTTGGGCGCCATCCTCAAGCAATGCAACAGTCTCTTGATCCACACTGATTTGCAAATACAGCAACTTTTGATTAGGTAAGGTAAGCAGCAAGAACCCAGAATTTACTGATACGTTGTGTTTTAAGTCTAAATGGTTCTGACATGTCGTGTTGTGGTTGGTGTGAAAAAAGCTGTATCCTTTTTCTCAAGCCACTTGCGCAAACACTTTGACACTGACACCCTGGGCTTTGCCAGCGTTTAGAAAACAAATTAAGAAGTAAATCTAAATGTGTTGAGAAACACATATTTTTGTCATCCGTTTGGCTCAGGTGATGAACTCCCCTCAGGCTACATCAGGTGTCGATGTAATAGGTCCAGGTTCACCCTCCACCTCAATCACATCCCTGCAAACTGTAGCAATCGAAGTGCCAGATGCTGATGAAGAAGCAGTCGAAATGAGGGGTTCTGAAACTGAAGCCCTGGTTCGCCAGTCAATATCTTGATGTCTCGTTGAGATTTCTGTTGAAGGTGTTTTTGCAACCTTTGTAGCTGATTCTTCGTCAGATGAATCTACTTCTCCCAACTGCAAAGTTCTTTTTCTCAAAATTTTTTGACGTTCAATTTCTTCAGGTGACTTTTGCTGAAGGGATCCTGTGTCCATGGGTTCTTCAATTTAAAGAGGCGAGCCTTCAGTTTTTTGTTTGTGCAGGATGATCCTTGCACTCAGGCACTTGAAACCAAAACTATGCAGTTACATTCACAATAAAGTCAGTGAGGCTCGCCGCTGAGTCAGCATTTCTTGTCATGTGTTGTTCACATAAGAAAGTCAGTGAGGCTCGCCCACTGAAGAAAAATTCTCTGTGAAGTATACATGACGTGTGTAACACATCGTTGAAATTAAAACTAAATAGAGACACGCAAAGCTCTTGGCAAGATTTGGAAGATACATGACATAACCAAAAATGAGTTGGCAAAGAGTAGTTACACTGACAATGCAAACACATGCAAACCTTTTGTCTAAACAAGAAAAAGTCAGTGAGGCTCGTCCACTGAAGAAAC